CTCTTCTTAATGCGCCCCAGGATCCCATTGGCCTTCTTGGCCACGAGGGCACACTGCTGCCTCATGGTCACCTTGTCAACTTCCCCACGGCTGTGCCATCTTACCATCTTCCCCTTGAGGAAACGCATTGCGGATATTTTCGCATCCACTTCCTCCCCGAGCTGCTCCTTCAGCGCTCGCCACGCGTAGCTCATGGTCCGCATCTCTATGGAGCACCGCAGCACCATCGTCACAAAGCCCTTCCGGAGAAACAAGCAAGAGAAACACCTTTACAACACGAGGCTACGCCGGATGGACAGTCTGCAAGCCATTAACTGTTATGATCCAGGCAATGATTTACACAGGTAATGCTCTGCTTAACCCTAGGGCGTCAGCTTCCCAGGAGAGGCAACTAAAAGCCTCCAAAGCAGCCAAAGGCTTCCCCCTAACCTCACCTTCTCTAACCTAAATCTTTGCAATGATTCTTTTAACAATTGCTTCAAGAAAATCTGCCAATTGACTTCAAGTTTCTCTGTTTCCCACAAAATGCCTCTAGGATCTCATTTAAGTGAAGGAACCAGACACAAATCTGAAGCTGGACAGAGCAGCTATCCAGAAACCCCAGAACAAGATGCCAGGCTCAGACTGAACTCAAGCTACTCGTTTATCCATTTGGTGAACACGGACGGAACGTTACTTACCGCAGTTGAGTTGAGTAAAGAGCGCTGCTGAATGGAAGATGCCCCCGAAATATGAGCTAGAGCTGCAGCCAGGGCATCGACGGCCCCTTTTTCCTCTATCAGCTCTCGAGCTGATGGTCTGAAGTACTCTACTGCAGAAGGAGGAACCGCCTCCAAAAACCTAAAAGTTCAAAGGAAGGGCTTGAGAGAACAGCGTGCCAAAGGCCAGTGTGCAGTGCAGGCATGTACAAGACATGACAGATTTCAGGAAGTCTTTGAGACTATTTATGCCTAAAACCCTTGGATGTAATATGAGTGCTTCATTACCACCCATCTAACACAACACTTTGAAGGATGCTGAACACCCACTTTTTTGACCATTGAGCCAAGCCTCAAAATTGTGTGCAAAACTGGGGACACATGAGACACCTGAGAGCTTTAATAAAAACATTCAGCGGGAGGAGCCAAAATACCAGCACTTTTAAGGCCATGAACAAGGATCAACAAAAAAGTAGTCAGCAATTCTGAGAATCCCTTGCCATTGTCAAGTCCTACAACACTACCACAGGTGGAAGCTAGGCATTCCTTGCTCTCAGTAAAAGCAGATTAAATTGCTTATTTCCAGAAGAAGGAATAAGAACAAGCCAAAAAATTAGAAGTCTTCTGTTTTCCAGCAGCTCTTAGGTGCTATCTTTAGTATAGCAAGACTTCCCACCACTTCTGCATATGGTTTGGCATGAACTCAACATCATGCCAGCCTGCAAACTGAACTGGCCACATTCACCAGTGATGGTGGATGTCGATGCCACCATTTCTGCCAAATGTAAACAGAGCTACACAGAGTAAAAGAGGAGAACACTCTCGACAAGAAAATCATACACACACAAAAAAAAAAAAAAAAAAAAGCCCAGGATGGGGCTACAACAACTCCTCGTTATACAAAACATTGCTCTTTAAATGTTGCCACTGTATCATCATTTGAGGAGATTTCCTCATACAATGACAGTTTCCTATTCTGACAGTGATAATTAATTTATTCTGCTGTAAATTGCAGTTTTATTTTGCAACTGACTCTGACAGCGCTGGCAAAGACCTGCTTTGGCCTGCAGGACCAATCCCTTAAAACTGCATTAACAGTGTTGCTGGTAGGAGCTCTAGACAATGTTTAAGACACTCACTTTTTGGCGTCACTACTTGAAGCTTTAATTATGTCTGTGGCAGAAGGAACACCTATACGCTTGAATGTAATCCCCTGAAATAAAAACATGAATAAGTAGATAAATAAAACAGACTAAAGTATTTTTAGCACTCAATAACTGAGCCCTCTCTGAGCCACATTTCTAAGGTCTCTATTGGTGTTTGGTAGAACACTAGCAGTCTTCATTTAAATGAAACTTTAAGCAAGAATAAAGTGGTTATTTTAATTCCTGCCTTTTAAATCTGGAACTACTTTGTAACAATTTAAGCACAGACTGTAAGGAAAGGCAGGGTCTCTTCCCTACTTTCCTGTGATTCTATCCATGCTGCCACTAACGGATCAGTGCCATCACAGGAAACTCACGATAAATCAGAATGGGTTGATACAGAAAGCATTTCTAAATCCTTACCAAAACTCATTATTTTCAGCTGCCCCACAGTGCTGTGGCACTCTCAGAGCCACAAGCAGCCCCCAGGTGCAAATTCTAAGAGTGCAGGAGCAAAATAATTTAAACACAGGTGCAAGGCAGAACTCACCGCTTTGTGCTCCACCTGTTTCAGCAGGTCTTCTTCTCTTCTCTGATAGAAGCAAATACAGATCCCTGTCCGGCCAGCACGCCCCGTGCGTCCAGAACGATGGATGTAGGAATCAACGTCCTTCAGATATTCAGATTGATACGATAAACTTGATGTCAGTTAACACTGCTAGATATTTTGCACATTTTAAGAGAAAGAAAATACAACCTAAATTCTAATTTGGAAGTCTAAAAATCGATACGTAAAGTTTCTCTACCCAAACCTGTTACTACAAGCACACTACTGGAGATGTGCTCCTTGGGGTTGCACAAACACTACTGATGTGGAGTTTTGGAAGTAAAAAGATCCGCTGAAGTTTCAAAAAAAGAAAAATACCACATGAATATTTTAGAACTGTTATGAAATTCGATCTAACCAATACTCCAAAGGGATTCAGAAATACTGTGGAAAGGATGTCAAAGCTATCTAAAGACCTTTCTAGGGTAATGGAAAACACTCGCTTTTATTTTAATCACAGTTCAATACTTAAGAGCTTATTTGGAAAATTCTAGACACGTATTTATAGCAAATCCACTTCACTGGTATATCAGAACATAATTCCCACAAAACAAAGCATTAGCTCCTTGTTCTGCCGCAGGAAAATAAATGGCAATTTCAGTGTCTCCCAGGGACTTACCTTAGGAGGTGAACACTGTACAACAAGGTCAACTTCAGGAATATCCAAACCACGGGCAGCTACGTTTGTTGCAATAAGGACTTCAAATGCACCATTTCTGAAACCTTTTAAGGTGATTTCTCTCTGTTTTTGTGGAATGTCACCATGCAATGACTGGGCATCCTGTCAACGAAACAAACAATAACAATGTCATTTAACAGGAGAGCTTAATTCCAGAAGTGGGAAAATTTGGTGGTAAAATTCAAAATGTTTTGCAACTAAAAATACTTCTGCAGATCATACCAAATGAGTGCTAAGCCTCCTACTTTGGGGGCTGATCCTTTTCTGGACCAATGATACAGAGCAGTAGTGAACTATCTTCTAGACAGCTGACAGGAGACTTTGCTCCCTTGCCTGTAAAGCTAACAGAAGATGATCTGAACTGCATTTTTTGGGGGGACAAGAGGTAGAGCTAAAGTATTTGACAAGCAGAAAGGGCAGTTACAAGCTCAGAATGCAAAAAACTCCACAGCAAAGTGGAACTTATTGGCACAACAGAGTCATGTCACATCCCGACACAAAACCACGAAGTCCTTACTGGGTCTAGTGCAGAAGCATCAGGGTGAATCAAGATAGTTCCTATAGAATTCTAACCTATATAAGTGTATGTCACGTATCAAATACTGAGCAAGATGTGCTTTCCCACCGCTGCTCTTCTCCCGTAATTTGGAACTGATTGTAAGCAGGATAAATAATGCTGCCAAGAGAGAGGAATCCAAAGAGTAGACTAACACGAAATACCAACGACTTAATCCATATGTCTGCAACCTCCTACTGCCTTCAGGATATCCAAATCCAAACAGGCTCAACTGCAGCTCTCCCTTCGGGGCCAGTACCTGTTTGAGCGAAGCATTCAGAGCCAGTTCATTGGCCTCCTTCTTGGTCTCACAAAAGACTATGGTCCGCCCGTGGCTGCCGCTGTAGACCTGAATGATGTCCCCAAGAACTGCTGGTCTCTGGGACCAGCGACACTGTATGGCCAGGTGCTGTTTGGGAAAGAAAGGAAAGAAGCTTCTATGTTAAACACAAGCTATGCATGGGACACAAACTAATGTCAGGTCTTGGGGGGAAAAATGAACATAGATATATTGTAAAATAGATCTAAAGCTTTAACTGCAACTACTGCCCCGGGGGAAACCTTTTCTTTACAGACAATTGAGAGAAAAAACATTTCACAGTTGCATTTGGAAATTCAGGTGCAGAGGCCAGGTCACTCGGACCGTATCCTCTGAGGACCTGCACTGTTTTACAGCAGAATCACTCACCTCCACAGTTGTTGCAGTCCTTTGAGTCTTCTTTCCAATCAGGTCAATTTGTTCATATTCACCTTTCATGTATTTGTTCCCTACATCATATACCCAACGTGGACAAGTTGCAGAGAACAGCAGCGTCTGAGGGTTATCCTCAGAACCTGAAAGAAAAGGCCATTGCTATCAGTCATTACCCACTGCAGCAAGAAAGCCTGGAAGCAACAGAAACATTTTCACTACCTTTTATACACCAGAAGTAAAATTAACAGTAATTTGAACTGGACCAGGCTGAAATCTTGACGAGAAATGCAAGATGCATTTCTAGATCTTCAGCTAAGTAAGTTTGGGATCATGCCTGAAGTCCTTTACAGACCTGGAAGGTGGGCTGAAAAGTACACTTTTCAATTCCCGGGGAAGAATTAGAAAATACAACGGGCTACTCCACTTTCAACCCCCTCCCCTTTCTTCATTTTCAACCTACGGACAGAAATTCTCTAACAAAAATGGGAGTAGAAAAAGCCCTGGCAAGTTTATCACTTTTTATAGCACAAGCACAGCGTAGTTAATTCTAGTGTTTCAGGGAGATGAGGTATCACCCTAGTTAAAAACAGCTTAACAGCTTGAAACAGGTTTAAAAAAAAAAAAAAAAAAAAAAAAAAAAAAAAAAAAAAACACATATGTATTTGCCAGTCACTCTGTTTGTATGAGCAGGAGTGTAGAGACTCACAGCATCCCTAAGCCTATTCCCAGCCACCTCTTCCAGGTGGGAGAACAAGAACTTATTTTTTTATTTTTTCCTTCCAGTGATGCCATTCCAGCCATTTGCCCATCTATCACCTTCCTCTCAACCTTCTCCAGCTCTAAATTTCTCCCCTTCTGAGATTGGATACTAGCACTGATGCTGGAATTTACCTTTCTTATAAGCAAATCCTAAGATTTCTTCTACTTGTTCAGCAAAGCCCATGTCTAACATGTGATCAACTTCATCCAAAACAACATGCTTTACAGCAGAAAGATCCAGCTTGCTATTTTGAATGTGGTCTTTAATCCGCCCTGGAGTTCCCACCAAAACATCAATGCCACTTTTGAGGAGATCAACTGGAAAATAGAAAGACAAAGATTGTGTCAATATGCTAAGAAACAACAAGATCAGTAAAAAGCTCCCAGTACAGAGCAACACTTTCAATTTTAAAATGAAAAAGTGGAATTCTTTCTTTTCCACATCTACCTGCAGACAAAGACATACTCATGAGCAGAGTTCTCTTTTCCCTGCATAGCCAGTCTCAGCATTCAGCCACTCGTAAAACTTCAATATAAAAACCACCACCAACAAAAGAACAAGACTGTAAGTCACTAAGTCACTTTGCAGGTCTACAACCATTCCTTTGAGGAGAGATTTACTGGAACTAAAATAATTCAAGCTCAGCTGGGGGATTCCTTTAAAAATGGTGCCACAGCTCCTGACTGAAGTGAAACTCTGAGGGAATAAAAGCCATTTTTGCTCCTGAAATGCATTTGGAAATTGTCAGCTCAAACCCAGTAGCGACCTGTTTGGATTTACTCACACTGTGCTTTGTACGGTGTTCCTCCATAGAAACAAGCCACAGAAAGCTGCTTTGTGAGATTCTGGAAATCTCTGGCTACCTGAATGGCCAGCTCCCTGGTTGGCACAAGAACCAGCACCTGGAAAAGGGGAAAAGACACAGAAATGCAGCTGTGGTTACAAGAGACAGTGAGCAGCAGAGAATGAACTTCTGCAGCTGCGTTCCCCTGTTTGGCAGGAACCACCCTAGGTTTCTGCTGTCCCTTTCAATTCTTATCAGTCTGTAGCCCCATTTTACACACAGGTTGCAGAGGGACCCAAGCAGCCCCCTCATTGCAGTGACACTTCCTACACCACCTGGGACATGCACATCACAGCCCCACAGTTAGCAAGAACAAACAGAACAGCGCTGCAGGGAAGTAGGATGCGGGGGACACGTGGATTTTCTTAACTCTCATGCCAGATAAAAGAGAATCTTCAACAGCACAGCTCAGTCATTCAGGCATGGTGGTGGAAGGGAAAAACAAAAACTCACCAGCCGAAGCCTAAAAGTGGTCACAAGAAGCCCTACATGTGAAACTTGTTGTCCCTGGGATGCTACAAAAACTTTGCAACACTGTATCTCCTGATCTGGAGAAAGTACTCAGCACTGCAAACAGCAATAAGGGAGCAAAAGTCCCAGAGCAACTATCAAAGCACTTTAAAACCACCGTGCTCAAAGGCTATGTTTTTAACGCCTAAGCAGGGATGTTACTTTTGGTGCACGGCCTCTTTTCCCATCCTGTGAGACGCTCTGAAGCTTTTCAACCAGCGGAATAGCAAACGAAAAGGTTTTCCCGGTTCCTGTCCGAGCTTGAGCGATCAGGTCTTTGCCGTTGTAGATGGGCTGGAAAGTCTTCACTTGCACAGGGAACAGGTATTTTACACCTCGAGCTGCAAGGTATTCCAGAAAGGTTTCGTGAAAGGCTGCTAAACCTCTGCATAAGCTAAGCAAGCGATTTAAAGTCCCCATATATAACTAGTGCAAACACACAACACACATCATGTCAAATCTGGTATGGGACAGAGATATAGAAAACATTCATCAGTTTGTTTTCACTTCTAGTGCAGGTCAGGAAGTATTCCCCCCAAACGAGTATTCACAGAGAAATAACAGCCTTCCCCCAAAAAAGTGTGGCATAAACAGAACTTTTTTTTTTCCCCCCTGAAACAGCTCAAGATTATTATAGCTTGGTTTGAAGGGCAGGCAGAGATCACCCTGTTTTTAAATACATTTTAAAACAAAAGAGAGATTTTTGCACAACACAAGCAAAATAACCTATCCCAGTGAAACTTCTGAGCAAGGAAAATATAAAGCAATTCAATTGCTTTACATTATTTATGTATTTTATATTTGCTTTATATTGCAATAAAGCAAAAACAGAATTTTGTCTGAGGAACAAGAATTGTACATTAAGCAATGGGAACTCCTCAGAGGTTACTCACTAACCAAACTAATCTGGAAAAGTGAAAAATACCAAAAGTAGAAAATACCAGAAATAGGAGAATAGCCAGAGACACCCAGTCCACAGGAGCCAAATAATCCTGACATGTGAAACGCAGTTTAGCGATG